AATATCTTTCAGTGGCACAAAATTAAATAAGATATTGTATATTTGATTTGGTTGCGGATATTTATATATTCACCTCCGGTTTTGCGCATGGCCTAAGATTGAAAATGCATGCCGACCTAAGGCGGATGTTTTTGGGCAGAGGATTATAGCCCTTTTTAGGATTTTTCGCGTCATTTTGGTTCTGTTTTTCTACAAATGGCAATTGGAATGTACAATGAGACATTCATAATCGTTTTTTAGTCATAAAAATGTTACTGTTACACTGTCTAACTATTAGGGAGAAATAAATTTTACCGTATCTCGAGCTCAGATAACAGTTGAGGCCAGCTTCGGTGACTCCAAGTACGACATCGTTAATGCTCTTCATGAATAAACATACACAACAAGAATGTCGTTATCTCGAAATTCGTTAAAGTTACCGAATTAAACAAAAGTGTTTATACTTTATTCCGATTTGAGAACATCGCAAAAGTAATGGTTCACAATAGTATATAATTCATTTAAAAAAACATACGTACGTACGTACCACATTCATGGCGTTCTTGACAAATTTAACCTCGTCGAGGCTGATAATCCGGCGCACGTATCTCTTGGGAGACAATTCCACATTACCCGAAGCTTTAATCACCGTGTTCGTGTCTTTCAAAAATGAAATGGTCGCCAAAAACGACAACGAGTCGACCAACGTGTTGAACATAACCAACAAAAATATCCAAACCAAGACAAACAACCTCTTCATCATCATCATCATCATTCCATTATTTTTCGCGACTTTTTCACGTTTCTTGGTTGCAATTGGAGGCAAAGATTGAGGATCGGATTTTTTCTGAGCACAAGCTATGACGAGCGATATTAGGGAAATGCCATCCCCAATGGAGTGGTCGATTTTGAATACAACGGTAGAATTTGCGTCCGAGTTTTTCACATTGAGCACGTGAACTTCCCACAACGGCTTCTCGTGGGTCATTTGGCTAGTCGAAAGACTCGATATGTAGTTGTCTATGAAGTCGTCCGGGTTTTCCATATCGGGATCCAAATCGGGGGCAATCACGTGCTTGTCCAAGTCAACTTTTGTACGTTGCCATGAAAACGTGCCAAACTTTTTGTTCTTGGCGACCTTGTACCAACAAACAAGTACATGAGAAAAAGAGATTAATTATTGCTTCTAGGAATTAGGGGAGTTATCAATATTTTTAGTTAGACGTTTGTATGTAAAAAAAAAAATAAAAAAAAAGCAAAAGTGAGTCCCTATTGTTCTGAATTTGTTATGAACAAATGCACGAACCAAATTATGTTATTTGCCAAAACTCACATAAAAATCGATAAGGCTATTATTAGACTCGTTATGATTATGAACCGCCCAAAAGTGTCACCAAAATTCGTAAGACTGTTGTTAGACATATTATGAACAAATGCACGAACCAAACTATGGTATTGCCCAAAACACACACAAAATATGTACTTTACTACTTTTTCAAAAAAAAATTACATAACTAATTTTCAATTGAAATGTCAAACTTTAAAAATAACATAAACAAAAATATTAAATTTCATAGTATAAACATTTATTTTTATTAAAAAATTATGACAGCTCCACCCACCAATTAAATGAGTTATCAAGCCCAAAAAAGGGCTAAAATAAATTTTAAATATTTTCTTTCCGTACTTTGGGGACCAATGGCCCTCTGAAAAAATTACTCACTCCATCTAACCACCATATATTACATTTACAACTATATTTATAGCAACACATAGAAGAAATAAATAAATTCATGAGCAAGAATATGCATGCTAGCATAATATTCACACACACACTAATCTCTTATAATAACAAGTTATCCACTTATATATGTTCAAATCGTACGTACCATCAAACTACAAAATCGAGGATGTTTAGTTAGGTTTTGCCCTATTTCCTTCTTAAACAAGTCGAGATCGATCTTTGTCGAATAACCCATGGCGGCTAATATGCAGAGATCGAAGCCCGGAGCCTGCATTAAACGAGCTCCCGGGCTTGCGGGCTCTTCTTTCTCTTCTCCTTGTGACATTTTCATCTCATCAATGGAGTTTTTTTGCTTGTCACTAACAAGCTATACGTAAATAATATATAGACTTTTTTTGTTATTACCTATTTACAAATATATAGACTGGAGCTGGTGAAGAAAAAGGTTGTGACAACATTTTTCATTTTTAGCTGCAAGCAATTAGATAGGAGTAATTAATAAGTATTTATAATGATTTCATTAGTGTTGATGCATTAATTGGTCCTGTTCAAGTATTAGGGGAAAGGGTGGAGGGTTGGTTAGGCGAAAAACAATAAAAGTGGGGCCTTAACATTAATGAAGAACGTGGACGAACACTAAATTGTAAATTAAATAGATTGTGACAATTCAATTCAAATGTTCGCCAAAGAGGGAAAATTAGACCGAACACTTTATCATCACATTATTACACACATTCACGTATTGCACGATTGTGTGGTGATAAATATAATTATATAATAATTTGTATATTGAATGTATCATTGTAACATATACCCTGAAATATTATTATTAAAAAAAAAAAAAGACATTCACTAGCAAAAAAACTTATTATAGTAGCGTAAAAAAAAATGTCACACATTATCCGCAATATTTGAATTCTTAGATTTGTCAACACTTGGTGTATGACTCAAGCGTGTATAGTAAATTTTATTCTAAATTAATATAACCAATGACATAAATCTTTTATGTATAATAGGATTTCATTGTTTTACATGTCACTTCATCTTTAAAAATCAACTATCATTTTTTAGCAATATATATAGAAGAAAAAAAAAAAGTTGTGCCAGAATAACATTCTTGTTAATCTATTAACTTATTCTAGATACGTGTGGTTCTAAAATTACCTTTTCAACTAATTTTTAGAATAAGGTGGTATATGGGTCCATTCATTTATAAGATGTAGACTTTGGTAATTCCTTTAAGTTTTAGACATTTTTGCACAATAGAACCACTACTTTCCCAACCACCTCAATTCTCAGCTTTTACCTTCATTTGTATAAATGAAGTCCATGTGCACAGTGCACAGTACCTAGCTAGGGTTAGCTTCGAATCTTCATCGGAATATAATGTGTACGAATTTCAAGCAAACTTACCAACATTTTTAAGCTTTAGTACTACCAAATGATTGGAATCGTGATAGTTGTTTTAACAATTTTGTGTTTATTTTTGTGTGTGTTTGAGCGTAAATTATTATTATTACTAAAAGAACCACTACAAAATAATTATCATATGCCAATCGAAAGTCCAATGGTAAAATATTTGAAAATAAATCCCACGGTATTTCAATAGTATGACTTTCGTTGAAAAATTGAGATGAAAAAATATGCCGTTTGAGTGAGTTTTCATCGAAATTTTAGTTAGAATTCTTCGGTGGTAATTTTTCCTTGGGATATGCAATTTTTATTGGAATTTTTACTTCAAGCTATTTTTTAACCTTTGGAGAATTTGTGGTTTGGAATCGTCAAAATTCAATGAAAAACTCATTCCAACGGAATAATTTCGTCGGAATTTCAGTTGAAATTTATTAAAAAATTCCAACGGATATTTTAGCATTGAAAAATGCTTTAGAATTGTCATTGGAATACTTTTTGGTAGAATTTCATCAATTTTCTGTAGTGAATCCTCTGTCAATACTACATTATTATCAACACAATTAAGAATGCAATTTATTCAAGAAAACAACTACATTAGCAAGAATGTGCTTATAATATATCAACACAATAGAAAACAACTACATTAGCAAGAATGTGTGAGCACAATACATATACATTACGAGTATATATATATATATACATATAATGACCAGTTATCGATTACAAGTTTTACGTACATACCAGCAAACAAGAAAATCGGGTATGCTTAGCTAGGTTTCGACTGATCTCTTCTTTGAATAAGTCGACATTGATTTTTGTCCTATAACCCAAGATGGCTAGTATGCAAAGATTGAAGCCCGGCGCTTGCATCAATTGGGCACCCGGGCTAGCGGGCTCTTTTTCTTCTTCTTGCAACATTCTCATATATGGAGCTTTTGCTCATCACTAGCAAGATGAAGTAAAAGTATAATAAATGTTTCTTTTCTATTTATATGCATAGTCCGATGTTGTAGTGGAAAAGAAAATGTAAATGTTTGTCAGTTGTATGAGTTGGGGAGTAATTAATATGTTATAGGTGATTGACGTTGATGTGCTATGGTAATCTTATAATTAATCACCCATAAAAAATTGTAAGGTTAGACTAAAATCAAATAATGTGGGCATTAATTAGTTGAAGAATTAATGTGGCCGTCTATAAGCTGTAAAAAAATCTGTGTGAACTCAACTTAATCACTAACGTTACTAAATACACACGTAGAAGATAGACGTATTTCTAACGACATAAATATGTATTGTAAGACTGAATATGAAGTCCCGAATACACTTAAAGCAATGTAATAGAGGTGTGTATATATATTAATGCTCCCAAATCAAAAGGCGTAATAGAAAATAAATATAAACGATATAA